CACTAAACGAGAAAACCCAGGGTTTGTTTGAGTGGATTAGTGTCGGAGAACCGATGAAGTCGTCGATGATATACACATCGGGATTATATTTGGCTATAATCTGCTTGAGCTTTGGTTCATTAGCTTTTACTCTCTCCACTAACCCCTCAAAGACTGGTAAAGTCATCATAATTTGCATTGATTTAAAAGGTGTTACGTTTGACAGGAGTCCCGACGCTAGCAATTGTTTGGCAGAATCTTCTCCAGGCTTTTGACCATTTGTTTCCTTAAAAGTCATTATTTCTTCAATGAAACCAAACGGCGATAACTTTCCCGCAAATGACTGGTCGACAGCAAAGACTATTTTGTGGCCCCGACTCAGCAATACTTCAGCCAAACCTATGCAGGCATTCACGTGTCCCACACCATCGACCGGTGCAAACAATATCGTTAACTTTTGTACCATTTTTACAATTAATTACTTTTACTGAATATTTTGCTAAACAGTAAAGTATTTTACAGTTTAAGGAAAATGTGTTTAAATTGCTGTGAAATGTTTGAGTATTTATAATAAACATTTCTATATAACGCATCCGATTATTATTTGTAATCAGTTGTAACATTTGCACTAAACTGTGCACTCATTGAGTTGTATACATATTTATATGAATTGAATACAGTTTTAGTGCATATTTTACAATATTCCCATGATAAAATCAATTTCCTAATAAGCCATTCAATAATTGTTATTAAACAGATTGAAATTTTCAAATAATAATAATAGTTAGTATCACATTAAATGTATTTAATAATGTGTGTATACTTTATTTGACAGTATTTTATCAATAAAAATGTAATGAAATAAAATAAATGGTTTTGTGTTTATAAAAGATTTTTTTTATTAAAAACGATTAAAGTAATTAAAATTTTTGGTAGTAAATTTATGTTTATCTATTGCGTAAATAAAAATAAAAATATAGTTACAATACAATTGATTTACAAGTGTTTGATATATAATTAAAAGAATTAATTAATTGCAATTGCAATATGTTTAACAAGAGGTTTATTGTATAAGATTTTCAATTTTTTCGGCGGCTTTTTGAAGGCTATTGGAGTTAAGCATACGTTTTGAAGCGACGGATAATTTGTGTTTTAATTCTTTATCATTCAATAGCTTTTCAATAGAGTTAAGCAATTCCTGCTCTGAAACGGTGTGCGGATTAAGTCTAATCCCAAATCCCTTCTCCATAACTCTCTGTGCGTTATCGTATTGATCGGCAAATAATGGCATTATTATCATTGGTTTACCAAAACTGAATGTTTCGGTCACAGAGTTGTTCCCGCCGTGTGTTATGACCACATCTACTAATGGCAACACTTTTGTCTGCGGAACTGAGTTCTCGCCCCACATATTGTCCGCCAATTCATATGTGTCTCCGAGAAGTCCTTTCGAAACAATGAATTTGTGGTTTGATTTCGAGAGAATAGATATCAATCTTTTCATTAGATCCACATTTATTGAACCCATAGAACCCATTGAGAGATAAATTAATTTACTTTTCTCTATATCTCTGTCACGGAATTTATCGGGAATTTTGAACTCTTGTTTCTCTCCTCTTCTCATGAATGCGTCGACTCTTAACCACTTCTCTGGAAGTGGTCTGAGATCTGTGTAATCGAGTTCTTCTGGATATCCATAGATATTAAGATAAGGCGAGTCATCAATTGCTCGGTTATTAGTCGTTACGGGAAAGCCTTTCTCTTTCATCCATTCATTATATTTAAAGCTCTGATTTTTAAACATGTCTTTTGATAATTCTTTGAATTTTTCCCATTCTTTTCGATCACCGTTTGAAGGATAGCCTGAATTAATATATTTATAAGTTAAATATTAAATGAGTATTTGATAAACATTTTAATAATAAAAAAACTGACCCGAAGACCCGGGAGGAGTCCTCTCATCATTGATGACAAACAATGGATTCCCACTAAAGAGGGAAACCCAGGGTTTGGTTGAGTGGATTAGTGTCGGAGAGCCGGCGAAGTCATCGATGATATATAGATCGGGATTATGTTTGGCGACAATAGCCTTAAGTTGTGGTTCATTAGCCCTCATTGTGTCCACCAATTTATCGAAGAAAGTTATAGTTTGCATAATTTTCATTGATTCATAAGACGTTACGTTTGAGAGGAGTCCCGACTCTATTAAACTCCTGGCGCCGTCTTCTCCGGGCTTTTTATTATTAGTTTCCTCTGAAGTCATTATCTCTTCGATGAAACCAAACGGCGATAACTTTCCCGCAAATGACGGGTTGACGACGAAAACAATTTTGTGGCCCCGACTCAGCAGTACTTCAGCCAAACCTATGCACGCATTCACGTGTCCCACGCCCTCCACGGGAGCAAACAGTATCGTTAACTTTTGCACCATTTCTTACAATTAATTACTTTCAATCAACACTTCACTACAAAATACAAAATGTATTTTAGACTTTAGATAATAATATGATTGAATTGCTGTAAAATGTTTGAGTATTTATACATTAAAGAACTATTACGTTAAATCATAGCAAATCGTCAATTATATTTACTATTATTTTAATGTAAGCTAATAATGTTGGGTACATAATATGGATGTATCTTGTGATTTTACATGTACACTAAATCAACTTTAAAATTAAGTACAATTATATTGTTTAATTTACTGAACTAATGTAATTTGCTTGAATTAAAATTGTACAGTTATAGAATCAACCAATCGCCAATGTTGCACTTAATGTGTCTAAAAAACCTTGATTAGAAACTCAATTATCTCTGTTAACTCTGCACTAAAGTGCATAATTAGTTGTAAAATTATAATCATTCTGATCATATCATGTTCGAACTAGTTATGTACTGGAAATGATTAATTTCTCTATTCAAATAACATACGTATATTCAGTGCATTGAGTGTAATAAATAATGAATTAAAAATGGACTTAATCCATGGATTTAATTATATATTTAATCAGACATAATGATTGTTTGCACTAAACGTTATAGCATTGAGTTCTATGAGTTTGAATTCACTGTTTTTTGTTGTTAAACTTAATAATAAGATGACATTAATGGGAATCCCATTATGGGATCATCCCATTGGGATGTAAATAATAGCAGAAAAATATTTTAAAACATTAAATTATTTCTAAATATTATTTTATTTATAAACTTTACTTTATTGATATTATTTTAAAAGATTTTAATTTTTTGTAACTTTTAACGCCCCACATATTGTCCGCCAATTCATATGTGTCTCCGAGAAGTCCTTTTGAGACAATAATCTTGTGCTGACTTTTGCTAAGAATAGACACCAATCTCTTCATTAGATTCACATCTACTGAACCCATAGAACCCAATGAGAGATAAATTAATTTACTTTTCTCTACATCTCTGTCACGGAATTTATCGGGAATTTTAAACTCTTGTTTCTCTCCTCTTCTCATAAATGCGTCGACTCTTAGCCACTTCTGAGGTATGGGTCGGATATCCGTGTAATCGAGTTCTTCGGGAAATCCATAGATATTAAGATACGGAGAGTTAAGCATTAAAGCACTATTAGTCTCAACAGTTGGTAAGCCTTTCTCTTTCATCCATTTATTGTAGTTATTCCTCGCATTTGCAAACATCTGACCCGAGTCTTCTTCATATGCTTTCCATTCATCTCTGTCTCCATTCATTGAAAGACCTGTTCATATCATCGATAAGTAAAACATTTATTTAATTTAAAAGTTTTTGATAGTCGTAAACAACAGACCAGAACCGGGCGGAGGTGTCCTGTCGTCGGGGATGGCAAACAATGGGTTCATACTGCAGACCCCAACCCACGGCCGGTTCGCGTACATCAGTGCCGGCGAACCGGCAAAGTTGTCGATCACAATGACGTCGGGATTATGTTTGGCCACAAATTCCTTCATTTGGGGCTCATTTTGCCGTAAAGCGTCGACAAAAACCTCAATTATTGACAGGTTTCGCATTATTTTCAGCTTTTCCAGCGCTGATACGCCAAACAACACTCCTGACGATAGTATATTTGTGGCCGAGTATTCCCCGGCCTTCTCACCCTTCATCTCATCGGAAGTGACGGTCTCTTCAATGAAACCAAACGGCGATAACTTTCCCGCAAATGACTGGTCGACAGCGAAGACTATTTTGTGGCCCCGACTCAGCAGCACTTCAGCCAAACCTATGCACGCATTCACGTGTCCCACACCAGGCACTGAAGCAAACAATATGGTCATGTTTTTGCCCATTTTTACGTCGTTTAGTAGTAATTGTTTTCTTTTAGATATAATTAATTTGATTCTCAAAATTATTTGTATGTTCTATGGTTTCAATAAAATTCTTATGATTATTAAAACTAATATAATTAAAAATTAAATCCATATGGGAAACATTTAATTATATACGCACTTCTATTGCTTTCAATATTATAGATTTCTAGATATTCACATATAATTATTATAAGAATGTCATTTATAAATTTGAACACTCATAATTTCATAATTAACTTAAGTGTATATAGTTTATAAATTGTGATTTATATAAAATATGAAACTATATAAAATTTATTTTACTTTTATTAGCAAGCTGAAATTTTATTTGTTTGTAATTAATTTTTTATATAATTTGTAGATATAAATAAATAAAATTAAAAATATAATAATAATTAAAATTATTTATATAAAGTTTAATTGTTAAAAGCATTAATTGATTAAAATTTACAAATAATTATACACTTGTTTGTACCCTTGTTTAATTAAATTTTTATTTAAATTTAAATTTTTAGTGAACTTACAAAACTTTTATACCGAAAATTAGTACCATCAATTTCAATAAAATAATTTTTTTTAAAATAATAATTAAAGTATAATCAATTGTCATTAGAGATGTTAGTGGTGAAAGTTTGGAAACGTTTAGGGCTAAATTTAGCCCTAAATTTAGGGAACGTTTAGGGTCTCGATGAACATTTAGGCTAAATGTTCAACCACTCTTGCATATAAATTTTTATTATACACATAAATATAATTACTGTTATAATAATGTGATTAAATAATGACACAAAATATATGGAAAAAAATAATTTTTTGTTTGCATAACAAACGACGGAAAGTGAATGCATTGGAGACACGGAATGCGTGCGAAACTGAAAGTAATGTTCATAAAAATGTATTGACAATTCACTCAACATTGGGAGAGAGAGAGAGAGAGAGAGAGATTTTAACTATTTATAACAGAATATTACAAACTATTTGTAATGACGAGTGATATAAGTGAGAGAAAATTGGATTTTTACTGAAACACAACAAAAAATAAAATATTATAACAAATTAATAAAAAAGATAAAAACGTCAGACGAATGCATAAAATTAATATTTATATCGAAAAATTAATTAATAATAACTTTTGTGTCAATTTAATGGTACAGGCATTGAGTTATGGTTTATATTATAATAAAACATTACATTATAATACACATCGAAATAGAGTTGCGAATCATAAAAAGCAACAAAAAAAACTTAATTAAAATAAAACATCAAAAAGTGATGTAAACCTAAATATAGATTAATTAACGGAGAGAAAGAAGGGGTGAAAAATGGTTGCAACAGAAAAGAGCAATAAAATACAGCACAACATATGAATTGAAATATTTTTGACGAATGAATGATATAATGAACTAAAATACGATAAATGAATTCAAAATCAGCCAAACATTGAGCACAAGAATTAATATACTTTTGAATGTTTTGTGCGGCTATTTTGCATAGAGTATGAGCGCATCGGTTAATGGTTTTTGTTGTTTTCACTCTCTAGTCGTCGGCTTTTATATTTAATTTGCAAAACACTTGAGAAAATGTATAACAAAAATCGCGCACAAAAATTATAATCAAAAGGCATATAGAAATTGATTAATAACTTATTTGTTGGGATCGGCCGTATAGTGAAAGCGCCTTATCTAACATCCTCTCTCAATGTTGAGTGAATTGTCGATACATTTTTATGAACATTACTTTCAGTTTCGCACGCATTCCGTGTCTCCGATGCATTCACTTTCCGTCTTCTCTCTCTCTCTCTCTCTCTCTCTCTCTCTCTCTCGTCTATCGTCAGTCACTCACTCTAAACAAAATCAATGTATTAAGACCTTGCTTTTTATTATTATAAAGGCACTCAAATATTTATGATTTGTGTAGTGCCCTTGTTGAACGCATATAAATTTTTATTATACACATAAATATAATTACTGTTATAATAATGTGATTAAATAATGACACAAAATATATGGAAAAAAATAATTTTTTGTTTGCATAACAAACGACGGAAAGTGAATGCATCGGAGACACGGAATGCGTGCGAAACTGAAAGTAATGTTCATAAAAATGTATCGACAATTCACTCAACATTGGGAGAGAGAGAGAGAGAGAGAGAGAGAGAGAGAGAGATTTTCCCGAAAGAATAAGTATATTTTTTCATCTCATTATATCTGTAATACATAATAATTCCTGACATAATATATCGTATAATAGATTTTTAAACTTAAAAACTATTGCACATAAAATAATAAGAAATATTTCTTTTATATAATAATAACAGTAATAATAACTTAAGTAACAAAAAGTCAGTGACTTTTCAAACAATAGAGTGAACACATATGAGTGAGGAATTAAAATATGAAAAATACATTATTTTGTTGCTCTCTCTTACTATTTCTCAATGAAAATCAGATTATTATTGTTTTAATTGATTAATGAGTGGTTCGGCCGATCAGATAGCAGTTTCAGCGCTGATAGCAGTCATTGTTAAAGACATTAAATTTGATATATATTCAGAATAATTGATTGTATTCTTGCTTTTTTGCTTCTCTGCCAATGTTTGTGTTCTTTGGCTCTCAGTTTGTTTTGGTATAAAAATATAAGTTTAGGTTAAAAATAAAAATCCACTGCAAAATGTTTACGACAAAAAAAAACAATAAAAAGCAACAATATATAAGCAAAACATTATGTTATATAATCCTTTGGTTTGTAATTTTTGTAACAAATCATTCACTCACGGAGGAGAGTGAGAGAGAGAAGTTCAATATATTCCCAAACAAATATCTCTTTCACTCCAAATCTCTAACGAGTTTTGAATTTTCAGTCTTTGTTTCTTTAGGTAATTATTTTTTGGAATTTTCAGTTTTTACTGTCGTATGGCTTCAGGGCTTATGAATGAGTATTGGGAGAGAGGGAGGGAGGGAGAGAGAGAGAGAGAGAGAGAGAGAGAGAGAGAGAGAGAGAAATTAAATTCATAGTAATGTGAATGAGGTTTTATAGCGTCATTTCGAGAGTGAAATTTTGTCGTATGTATGGATGGCTTGCAGTCGACGCTAACATTCAAATTTACGACCCATTGCTACGAAAAATAGTTAAAAATCGTAACCAAAAATACTCTGACCTCTCTCTCTCTCTCTCTCTCTCTCTCGGTTTGCTCTCTCTACAGTCAGTGACATACGTCTTATTATCGCCTCTCGGTAATTTTTAACAGTGATATAAAATTACAGACCTGTTTGGTATATTTCGGAACCAATGAATGGGCGAATGCGGGACCAGATATTGTGTTTGCTTTTCAGGTGCTATTCAAACATTGCATATAACCTAACGACCAAAAAAGGACAGCAAATACTGTATACACACTAATGAGAATCAATTTATTTTCTTCTTTATATATTTGTCGTCTCTCTCTCTCTCTCTCTCTCTCTCTCTCTCTCTCTCTCTTAAAATAAATGCTGAGACACTGAGAAAACACAATTATAATGGAGTTTAATAACTGGCAATAAATCATTTCTAAAATCATTACTTTATCATATCTTCACATATAATGCAATAATAGTCAAAATATTTTACATTTTTGGGCGCAAAGAATATATGCATTAAATAGTGTTATAAACGGCTCTTCTGTTTGTCATTTAAACGTCAAATTCTGTTCAAAAATAAATGCAAACACTATTTATTAGTTGTGTTGTGTTTTATCTAATCTATTTTGTTTGGCTTTAAATTTAATGCTTGCATTGATTCACATGAAGAATGCATTCAAATGTCTATTTTGTTTGTCTCTCAGCAAAGAAAAACGATTGATGAGATGTTTGTCTCATCTTGACTCCTGAAAGATGGGTCCATACATGTGTGTGCAGTCATATAAACGCCACACAAAACATCAATTTATGGATTCAGATGCTGTACTCGTCTTTTAACTATACTGTATATACAATTTGATTGCTTTTCCACTGTTGTGTCGTTCAGTCATTTTCATTGAGATACTCAACAAATAAGTGATGAGCCATAAAATGCTCATACAATCAAAACGATAGTACAATCACTTGTTATTTAATATTTTACTATTAATTTTTTGTATGTATTTCATTGGTATTTCATCGTAATGTCTTTGAATATATTCAGTCATTGAATATTATGTTTGCCTGAATAACAATAAGTTTTGTTTTGCGATCATAAATGCTATCATATAATACTAACGGTTGGGAATATATATCGTAAAAAACAGTGCAAAACAACTTTGATTATTCTCTCAGAACACACATGAATGGCATATATAATGCATATAAATAGATATAAGAGTTAAATATATAAATGGCTTTGTTTTATACATAATCTGCAAAAAAGCAAAAGAATATATAAAAACAAAAGGAAACCATTGCTCGGAGAGTGTGGTCTCATAATGAGTGCTATTGTTATGTAATATTAGTTGTTGTGTTGTTATGGCATCTCAAGTGATGCTAGAAATTCACGATAATATACTTTCTTAGAGTTTAGTTATGCAGTGAAATGAGAGGCAAAAATCGATGCGAAGTGAGAGAGAGAGGGAGAGAGAGAGAGAGAGAGAGAGAAAAGGCATACAAAAATGTGGAGCAAAAGCAAAATAATGTTGTTTTTGTTGTAGAAGTGCTGTGCAAAAGGTGTGAACAATAAACGCCTCTTTTGTTAGGGCTTTAGGTTTTTGGTTTTTATTCTCTCTCTCTCTCTCTCTCTCTCTCTCTCTCTCTCACTTCGCATCGATTTTTGTTTTAGTCTCCAGACTGGCTATTCTGTCACACATTTTGATGCGTAAGGCTATTAGGGCTGCTGTGCCCCCACTGCCCCCACCCAATCCTGTCAGCTCTAGTGCCTCTCTCTCTCTCTCTCTCTCTCTCGACTCCACTCCTTACTGTCTAATAATGATAATCACGAGTAATTTATTCATCTTATCGATCAAACATAACGTT